TTTGTATTTAAATCTGGGGATTAATCATATATATTACATATATATTTCACAGAAAATATATCAGAAATAATATTCTGTTTTGAAATACAATAATTTCACTGTAGTTTAAGGGAAATTATAGTACAAGATTTCCAAAGTTAATCTTTCTCAATTAAAAATATATTCTGAGCAGTTTATAGATTTGTTTTAAAATATTGCTTAGCATAGATACTGCCAGTTATAAATTAAACTATATTGGTAACAGGTATTTAAACACTAAACATCTCCCTGATTCTCCACAACACAGATAGATCAAATATAGGATAGTGTCCAGAATGCAAAGATGAGTGCCACAGTTTGCTTTCTGATACCTATATTGTACCATGGCCACATAAACTAATACATGAATTTGAACTAAATTCCTTGTCAAGGAGTAGTTCTAAAATTTCTTGAAATGTTCAGCTCCTATTTTGGAATTCTCGTTAATTTTGTAGTTGGGACAGATGAAAGGAATTTAGAAATAATCTGTTTATTTCTCTTCAAACACAATAATCTGGATATGAAAATTCTGTCTTCCTTTGTTACAAGGAAATCGCTTATTCAATTTCCTATTAAATTTTTTATTGCAGTTGTGAACCTTCGTCTAGCCTTCTGAAAACAGCCCTGTCATTTTAAGCCATTATCAACCACCTAATTATCAAAGAGGAGACAGGTAGTGACAGAATGCTGTTTAGTTAGGAAACCACTGGTGACTCTTACTTGCCTCTCAGGGTGAGCCAGATTTCCCTGGGGAGTTCTCTGTTCTACTTCCCTGAGCAGCTGGAGTGACAGTGCAGGTGGAAGTCTGCTGCCCTAGCGAGAACTCCAGGCCTTGTTCTTTCCCTGATAGGTATCTGGAAGTATTGGCTTTCCGAGACTCTGGAGGTGACTTGAATGTTTATATTGTTAATGCTCTGAGCACAGGTAATGGCAGATTAAAACATGACCAGCATGACCAACAGAAACAAAAGTTTTATTGATAAGGATCTCTTATTCATGACAAAAGACAAGGAGGCAGAAATGAGGCTTCAGGGGATAAAGTCACTGGGGCAAAGAAAAAGAAAATGGGAGAGTAATACTAGCCTTAAAAATGTGTTTGATGGTAAGGAAAGAATCCCTTAGATCCTTTCTGGTCTCATTGCTCTCCTAAATCAGAAATATAAGATGAGTATTAATAAATATAGTGTGCTTACAGTTCAGTGTGTATTCTGTGTTTATATGGAAAAGTGAAAGGCACTGAGGCTGAGAGTTAGTAAAATTATATCACTTGAATAAAAAAAGTGGTTTGTATTCATATACTGATAGTATGTTGTGCTTATGTAGTTAGTTCCTCTAGTTTTTAGTATCTATTGTGCTCTTTGGTTTTCCACTAATTCGTTTTTTTTTGCTTTTGTTAGCCTTAAAATTGGAACTACATTTTAATCTAAGTTTCCAGAAATAGTATTTGCAGGTATATGTGCCATGGTATTTGTACACCTGCATAGGTAAACATTGTGAATTGCGCTCTTACTGGCAGAGGTATTTGCTCACCTTAGGTTTATTGTTAACTTCACCTATAACCTAAGGGAGGAAGGGAAATTTGCTAAGATGTTTCATTGTGTAAAATCTTAGCCCACTTAATTTTAAGATACTACAAATTATTTTCAAGATTTCCTGAGCAACTTTTCATACAATACATATGCTAATTAGATATTAATTCCTGTTGGTGTTAAAGCCTGAATGGCTTTTTGATTGTCCTATAGTCGGGGTCAGTTTCCTGAACTCCTTTTTTTCTGGGCCATTGGCAATGTTTTTGAATTTGTTAACATATTATATTTAATGATCTATCTTTAGTTTATATTTAATGGTCTTTTATTTAGTCTTTTCAGATGCAGGCTACTTCCAATAATATTTGGCAAGTAGTGTAGATCGTAAATAATTGTTAAACATATATTTAGACTGATGAGTGAATCGTAATATTAACCATCACAATATTTGGACAAGAAATTAGTATAAAGAACTACAGATTTTAGTTCATTATAAATAATCTAAACTTTTTCTGAAATATTTCAAATAAGATTAATTTTCAATTTATATGTTCATATTAATTTCCTGATTTTGATTATTATATTACCATTTGGTAAGACAATGTCCTTATTCTTAGAAAAGGCACTCGAAAGCGTTTATGGGTAGGGACATTATCTCTATAACTTAAGGTGATCCACAAATTATATATACACACAAATAAATAAACAAAAATGTGAATATATATCCAGTCATGCATCATTTAATAATTGAGATACATTCTGAGAAATGAGTCATTAAGAGATTTCCTTGTGCGAGCATCACAGAGTGCACTTACACAAACTTAGATACTATCGCTTACTACACACCTAGGCTATGCGGCATAGCCTATATCTCCTAGGTTACAAGCCTGTCCAGCATGTTAGTGTACTGAATACTGTAGGCAGTTGTAATGCATTGCACTATGTCTGTAGGATGGCTACAGTGACACTAGGCGATAGGAATTTTTCAGCTTCATTCTAATTTTATGGGACTACTGTCATGTATACAGTCATCATTGACTGAAACGTCATTATACAGGACACGACTCTATATATACATGTTTATATGTAGAGAGAGAATCATGCACATACTGAGAGAACAAGAGAATTATAAAGCAAATATGACAAAATTTTTTAAATGGGAAATCTCTGTTAAGGGCATATTGGAGTTCTTTATACTCACAGGTTCCCTGTAAGACTCAAATTATTTCAAAATAATTAAAACGTATTTTCATGTCGATGGTGAAATAGAAACCGTATAACCTTTTAAAGGATATTTTGACAATATATATAAAAAGCCTTAAAACATATATCTTTTTAACTAATAATTCTTCTAGGAGTCTAGATTAAGAAAATAATCATTGACATGTATAATGATGTATGTGTAAAGTATTCATCACAGAATTTTGTGTGTTACAGCAAAGATGTGTTATAACAAAACCTTTGTAGTCCCCTAAATATATGTCATCAGGAGATTGACTTTCTGACTGTGTCTGTATATATGCTCTGTAGTCTTTAAAACACATGTTACAGAAAAATTTTTGGTTTTGGAAATGTTCACAATATTAAAAATAAAAACAATCTACTTATAAAACAGTTATAATGATTTTTTCCCTTTACTGTGGTAAAATACACATAACATAAAATCTACCATTTGAACCATTTTAAGTGTACATTTTAGTTCAGTGCATTAAATTACATTCATAATGTTGTGAACCATCACCATCATTAATCTTCAGAACTCTTTTCATCTTATAAAATTGAAACTCTGTACCCATTAAGCAATAACTTCTCCATTTCCCCCTTCCTCAGCACCTGACAGCCACCATTCTACTTTTTGTCTTTATGATTTTGACTACTCTAAGGACCTCAAATGAGTGGAATCATACTGTATTTCCCTTTTTGTGACTGGCTTATTTCACTAGCATAATGTCCTCAAGATTCATCCATACTATAACATACATCACAATATATTTTTTTTAAGGCCAAATAATATTCTATGTATATATATACTAGTTTTGCTTATTCGTTTATCTTTCAGTGGACACTTGGATTTCTTCTATGTTTTCGCTATTATGAATAATGCTGCTATGGACATGGGAGTATATAATGCCTTTTTGTGAAATATTTTGCTCATGAACTTTTTTGTTTATTAAAATGATATTGCAAAGGCATAGGATAAAATGTTAGTAGTAATTTTCCTAAGTAGTGAGGTAGTGGTGATTATATTTATTTTAGTTTAGTTAGTTGGTGCTTTTCCATTTTCTTCATGGAACATATAATACTTTTGACTGATTAAAAAAAAAAAAAGTTACATTGGGTGGGATAAGATCCACATCCAAAGTGTTCAGGTAGCTATACAGTTAAAGGTACACAGCACAGTTGGAAAACCTCTTCTTTGTAGTAACTACAGTCATAAATTACAATAATACCATTTAAAATTTCATAACAGCAATCATATGCTCAATGGCCTATGGTGCCCTTAATAAGAGTGGTGCTAATGCCATGACTATATGAGTGCACTTGGTTTTAGGTCAGCTTTCTCAAAATATGTTCCAAAGACTGCCAGCATATAGTTCACCTCTGATGATTATTTTATAAAAAAGTACTTTGAGTAAAAATCTCTGTGGTCGAAGTCAGTAATATGCATTTGTGTAAAGCTCTCCAAGTCATTCTTATTTATATGAAGTTCGATAAATCATGTCATAAGTAAATCTGATTTTTTTAAGAACTGGAGTTAGAACAACATAAATAATATTTAATAATTTTTTCTGTAAAAAATCACACAATATTCTTTTAGTAGAACATACCCATTCCTTTAAAATAAAATGCTATTTATGAAGAATTTAGCTATGTGTTTTTGAAGGGCATTTTTGTTTAAAGTGATATACAACTACATATTCTATATTTGGCAACATTTGAGGAATCATATTCCTTTGTATCCATCATAAGATGACTTTGTGTTTTATGTACAATAAATACAGATGAGTTTTTTCCAAATTCATGATACAGAGTGCTCCAGAAACCTCATGAGAAAAGTCTGCACTTCTATCAGCCAGATCTGAAAGATGATGTACCTACTTATATTTTAGGGGCATTGATCCATTTACTACATTTGTTTATATTCTGTGCTTTTTATCTCATGTCAAGCGTATTCCTTCCAGACAGGAAGAAATGCATGCTCTTGAACTGAGTGCATAGATGAATGATAATTCATGTTAGTCAACATTATTTAATTTGGAGTATATACATACATACATATGTGTGTGTGTGTGTGTGTGTGTGTGTGTGTATTTTTTTCTTATCAATTAGATTAAAAGAATCTCTCACATCTTGTATGTGGAGCTTAGAAGCACTTTTAGGAAAGAGTTGTTTCTTAATTTTTAAGTGAAAGTGTTCTCTGTGTTATGGTTCTCTTTACTTTCTTTTTAATTTCAGATTTTGTTGATGGATCTATACACCACAAAGCCTTACTTATATCTGTGACTGTCTGTAGTTTGCTCTTGGTCCTTATCATTTTATTCTGTTACTTCAGGTAAGTTTCCAACATGTAGATGTAGAATTTTGAGTCTGTAATACTTTTCTCATACTGCTATTCTATCTGTTGACATTTTTTTTCACCACGGCTTTCTTTGACCTAAGTAGTTCTTAGATTTCACTGAAAATATCAGTTATTATTGATAAATATTTGTTCTAATGAAGCTATTAATAGATGACTATCTCATTTCTGCTTCAGACATCAAAACCACCCAATTTCACCCCTAGTGAAATTAGAGTTGTTAGGGAATTAAGGAACTAGTTGCTGTTGAGTTTGATTTCAAGCAGAGAAAAGAGCATGTTGAACATAGAATCACTCTAATAATTCCTTATTTCCTGAGCTAACAATTTCCCCCTTAGTATTGAAAGATTTTAAAGATAATTTATAAATTAATTATTAAAATAAATTCAGTTACTATATTAAAGTTAAGTATGGTGGTTGCAAATTATTTTGTCACTAAGAACTTATTTTGTAGTTTGTGAAATATCAGACCTTTAAATTCATATCACTTGCCTTTTGTAATTACCCATTTATGATACTATTCTGCAAATGAGAGTTGATTCAAATTTATTTCTAATTGGAGATATAATTATTGACAAAAGTTTTTAAAATTTAAATTTATTTCACTTATCTATATTATTGCTCTCTATATTACCTTGGATGAGAGAGTTCACTGTAATGTTTTTTGTAAATCAGAAATTTGCATCTATAATTAGATCTTAAAGGGAAAAATTTTAGGGAATGAAAATTGGAGCTACATAGAAACATTAACAGAATGTAACTGACTGGAACATAGTCAACTGAAAAGAATAGAGAAGAAAAATTGTAAATGGTTGAGACTGAGTAAAAACATGTAATTTACTGTAAAAAATAAGTCAGGAAAATAATTATGATTTGTTTTTTGGAAATAACTGAGGGTAATAAAAACTGAGCATTTAATCTTGTATTTATGTGCTAAAATAAAAATAAAACCTGCCATAATTAATGTTTTATCTGCAGTGTTTTGTCTATATCATTGCAATCCAGTGTCTAAAATGATCTTCCTTTATGCATCTTTAGGTATAAAAGACAAGAAACCAGACCTCGGTACAGCATTGGATTAGAACAGGATGAAACTTACATCCCTCCTGGAGAATCCCTGAGAGACTTAATTGAGCAGTCTCAAAGCTCAGGAAGTGGATCAGGCCTCCCTCTGCTGGTATGAGGAGAACATACCTTGAATTTAAAGGAAATGTCTTCTGAGAGGAAATGTCAGTAAATACAGGGTTTCATTTTACTGAAACAGATAGGGCAGGACAAAGAGAACGTTCTGTACAATCACTTAGATCTCAGATCTCAGATGCTGGGATTCCTGATAACATTTTGACATATTGAGAGTAAGGTGATTGTTTTTTAATGTCAGTGTATGGTTACAATCCAGACCCTCAGACATTCTGATTAAGAGCAGATTAGAAAACAATAAACTGGGGCCTTCTTCCCTCTGTTTTCAGTAAGGATAGCATTACTGCACCTTGGCCTGGCTTTTGAAGGCAAAAGTATTACAACCAACTGGGATCTGAGTACTTTTACAAGGGAATAAGGCTGCATTTCAGCTAGAGGGTTTCTGTTTCAGGGTGAAGTCCTGGCTTTTCCATTCAGGAGAGGTTTAATTTTCTGATGGTCAACACTGCCAACCATGAAGAAAATATATACCGAATCCAAGGCACTTGCTTTAATGAGAAAAACATTTGGTTCCCTTATGGACCATGCAGAAAGATTGTTGGGACTCAGGATGGAAATAACAATTTTAATGAGAAATATTTTCCTTTAAAAAACTCTTAAGGTTGATTTTCCTAATCTTTATTGTCTGGTTCTAACTTTGGAAAACTTGTTTACTGTATTCTTTTGGTGACCTTTTATTTAGTACTAAAAGTAACTTTTATAAAATCTCAACCCAAGGATTTATTTTATAACATTTTTTTGGACATATGAAAAGCTATATATATTTAATATATACAACTTGAAGAGTTTGGAGATGAGTATGCATCTCTGAATACATCACCACGATCTATGCCGTAAACATTTCCATCACCTCCAAAAGTTTATTCCTGCCCTACTTATTTATTTGTTTGTTTCTTTGTTATTTTATGATAACACAAAATAAGATTTACTCTCTTAGCAAATTTTAGAGTATAATACACTATTGATAACTGTAGGCATTACAGAGCTACAGGACTTATTCACCTTGTATAACTGAAACTCTGTAGTCTTTGATTAATTCCTCCCCAGGAGGTAATAGACCAGACAGAAAACCATTTGTGAAGTAGTCATAATGACCAAACAGATACTACTTGGATGTAAATTTTTCTTATGTAGAAGTTATTATTATCAAATACCGATATTTGATAATAAGCTATTTGATTTTTTTATTCTTAGAATTTAATTAATATACAGCAAATACAATTTTCAAATTTAAAAGTCTTATATTTTTTTAAAAGAAGAGTACAAATGTTAAAATCCCCTTTAATATTAATGAATCATACTCATGCTCTTGGAATTGAAAACTACTTGTTTTCTCTATCTAACCCATCTTTCTCATTACTGTAGAGTTCTCTCTCTAAAACCTTTGACCTTACTATGTTACTTTCCTGGATAAAATGTTCTACTATCCAATAGCCTTTTTGGGTCTTCTTTTTTAGCTTGGTCTGCATGGCATACCTCTTCTCCCACCTCTCTTCCACCTGCTTCCTGAGCTCTAGTATCAGCCTTGAGTAATGGTTTCTCAAATACAGTAAGTCCTCACTTAACATTGTTGATTGGTTCTATGACTTTAAGTGAAACGACTGATAACAAAACCAATTTTACTAAAGGCTAATTAACATAAACAATTAAGTTTCGATGGCATCTCAAGGTTATAATGAAACAACATTGAATGAAGCGTTATTCTATTTGAGGACCTGCTGTATATAACATGTGTTTTTAAAGTCCATGTCTTTGCAAATGTAGTATATTTATGGAGAGTTCCTCAGACTTATGGCTCATGATCTACCTCATGTTTTATCTCTGTGACAACTTACCTCAGACCGAGCCAGTCTATTCTCTTCTGTCATAACATTTTGCTTATAGTTTTAATACAGCAGTTTAAAATACTCTTATAATTGATGTTAGTGTGTCTATGTCTTTAAGAGGACTCTCATACTTTAAGGATGGAGAATACATTTTGTTTACTTTGTATCCCCCCTGTTGATTAAAGGGGCTGTTTAATACTTTGTTTTAAAAGCTTTCAACTCCAATTTTTAATATCTATGAAAATGCTATCTTATTTCTATACTGTAGGTACCAAAAAATAGAATTTGGCTTACATTAAAAAAAAAAAAAATGGTTAAGAGAAGCCAGATTGCCAGGGTTCTGATTCTGACCAGATACCAGCCTTCGCAAATACAATCTCATTTAAGCTTCATGGCAACCCTGGGTGGTTGTTCTAGAATATATCCCTGTATTACGCATTAGGGACATAGGCTCAGATAGGTCAACCAGCTAGTATGTGGAGAAGGCAGGATTCAAACCCAGATGATTTGCCTCTAGAATTTGTACTCTTCATGTTTGTGAGATATGAACCAAATGTTAATTAAATAAAACAAGGGGAATGCATTAGATAGGGGCAAGATGGGAAGGAGGATCCATAAAACCCAGTTTGGTGAAGGAAAAATCTCAAGATCTTAAGATCTTATTGTAAGATAATACAAAGTGTGCAATACATTATTATGCAAGTATCTTACCTTAATACTAATTTATTATTTATTTCAGTAACATAATATTTGTTAAATGTCTTTATATTATAAGTCCTTTAAGGAAGGAATATCACAGAGTGGTTGCAAGTATTAAGTTAGTGTTGGTGTCTCCCCGCCATTTAATGTAGTGCCTCCCATATTATTTAATATGTGGTATATATTCAATAAATATTAACACATTATCATTTTTTATGTATACCCTATTTATCTGACCTTGTAAGTGAAAAAAAGGGTAAATTCTCTTACTGAACATTAAGCCTCTTAAGTGAAGAATCTTCTGTGAAAAATCTTTCCAATATGTGCTATTAACTCAGCCTTATTAAGCAAAATATTTTAAACTGTATATTTGTGTGTAGGTGTGTGTGTGTGTTGCTAATTCAGGGACATATTAGAGAGTACAGAGCATTATTTACAGCTACAATTTTTCAGTGTCTATACATGTACATGGACTTAAACATTAGACACTATCAGACATCACCAGATAAATGACATTTCTGAAATAATGGTAACTCCTTATAAATCCATATATCCTCAGTTGTACTCATTTTACATGAAATAATTCTTCTCTTTTTGGAATCACAATTATAGCGATTGTATCTTGCAGGCATTTGATTTATACAATCAAGCTTTCAAAATCCATATCTAAGAATGTAATATAGAATGAAAGTTTAGGTAAAGACTAGAAACATTAGTAAATCAAAACTCAAATAAATCACATAGTTTAAATTTTTTTCTAATTATTTTTTAGGTCTTTAGATGTTCTAATAAATCTCAAAATATATTTGTAATTTTTGAATATAGTTTAGTGACACTTTTTATCCTTGAGATGTTTTTCTTATTCTTTCAAGCATGCCAATTTCATCAGTATTTTCATTAAATTATAAGATATGTTAGCATTAGAAAAGGATGCCAAACTGTTTATGTTAGGAAATGTTCCAAAGATTTATATAAGCAATATTTTGTAACATCTGTAAATTAAATGTAATATTTCTTTTATAAATGTAGAAAGTTTCCTCTCAAGTCAATAATTTACTTGTGGATTTGGCTCTTAACTGCTTAGCACGATTGATGCTTCTGTTCCTCATTTGGGAATGGAAATATGCCGGAAACATACTCTTGAGGAGCATGTTCGACTCTTGAAGGAGGAAAGCTGCTCGACACTCATGCTTAGTTCTTATTTCCTTCAGGCTGAGTGGCTTAATGGCATGTCAGCAATGCTTTTATTTTTCAATCCTGCTTTTAGAAAAATTTTTAAAAGACTTTATTTTTCCCTAAAATAGCTTTTAATCTGCTACATTAGTGCTGTTAATGGTTATGGCAATGGATAGCATTATCCCTTGAATCATTCATTGTGCAAAAACAGAACCAATCCTAGTTGGTGGACATCTGTGATAGGCAGAATAACGCCTCCTCCCCAAAAATGTTCATGTCTTAATCTGTAGAATCTGTTATTTTACATGGCAAAGGGGAATTAAGGACGCTAATTAGCTGACCTTGTGTGGACTCAATGTAATCCCATGGTCCTTAAAAGTGCAAAAACAAAAAGAAACACTAAGTTTACTTGATGCAAAGCATGTTTCTGCAGAGTTTATTTCAGTTTTCTGATCGTATTTTATGAGTTCTGTGCTAGGTTCTTTCTACATGTCTCCTAAATTATGTCAATTGTCACTGATACTTGGCCCTTTCAGTTGTGGAGTTCTTAAAATATTTTACTGTAAAGTCGGACAGAAAAAGTTGAAAACCACGCAATATCACTTATATGTGGGATATAAACCTAAAAGCAACAAACAAACAGGACAAACAAACAGAGATTCATGGACATGGACAATAGACTAGTGGTTACCAGAGGGGAGGGGGGAGGTAGATGGGGTAAAAGAGGTCAATTATGTGGTGACTTTTTCATAATTATAGTAAAATTTTAAAAAATAGTAGCTATTGTTACAAAAACATTTTATTATAAGTGAAGTTGGGATAAAGATTAGGTATAAAGAGACATTTAACCTCTCTGCAACTTAACTTTCATAATTTCTTTTTCTTTGTCTCTACTGCACCCTATAATTCTTCAGAGCTCTCTCATGGTTTAGTTGAACTTTCTCTCCATTTCTAATCTGTTGTTTTACCTGTTCATTTTACATTTTTGATTCTGACATTAACTATTCCACTTCAGAGTATAATTTTCATTAATTTCTTGCTGCTTGCTTATTTTTCATTCCATCTTCTATTTCTTTACATATTTCATACATTGTTCCATAGCATTCTATATCTGAAAATTCCAATATCTGTAGTCTGAAGGGGTTAAATATATTTGGGTTTCTCTTGACTCTCACTTATAGTGGCTGTTTTCTTTAGTCTTAAGGAATTTATTCTGTGGGATCTTTTCTTTCTTCCCTTTCTTCTCTTCCTCCCTCCCCTCTCTCTCTCCCCACCTTAGGGATTTCCTTTATTCTCTTTGTCGACATAAGTATGTCCAAACTTGTAGAGAATTGTTATAAAAATTTATCTGAGCTAAAGAGAGGATATAACTGGAAGGAAGATCTCAACAGACTGAGAAAAGTGCTTCTCAGAGTGGCAATTTACAGCTGCTTTTATGCATTTGGACTTAAGGAGGGAAAGTGCATGAAGATGAGAGAAAGCAAGGCTGGATTGGATTACAGGATAGTTACTAAGATGGTATGCTCTCCTGCTGGTGGTTTAGCTTCTGAGGGGTCTGAAAAGAGGCATTTCAAAGGTGTGTTAACCTAGATGCACAGAAACAATCCTTAAGGCAAAGATAAATCTTTTACTAAAGAAGTTATACGCCTGGGGTGTGACTACTCCATGACCTGCCCAGTTAGGAATTTATGATCAGATCACTCTGTGAGGTTACTTTCCTTAGAACCCCCTTTTTTGGTCCATACTTGTGAGAACAAAAATGTATTATAGTTTTTTATTTCTTTTTGATTTACCCATGATTAACAGATGTGGTGGCAAGAGTTCTTTCAAAGTACTTAGTATCTTACCATAGTGGTAGAATGATTCCCTTCTGCAAATGATTCCCTTAAGAAAGGATTTTGCTGAATGCCCCGGGTACTACCATCATAGGACAAATTTAGTACCATTCAGTGGTCCCAGCTTAAGGCCGAAGCCCTAAGTTAGGATTCTCTACTTTTAAAGGGATTAAAGTTTAGATTCTGGATGCCAGAGCTGATATTATTCTTAGCCTAGACAGCAACCTGGCTTTTGTATATGCTAACGATTATTGTTCTCTGCTCTGATCTCAACTCTGTAATCCCTCTTTTCCTTCCTCTTTTCTTCCTTCCTTTCCTCTTTTCCTCCTTCCCTCTCTCTCCCTTACTTTCTTCCCTCCCTTCCTGTAGATTTGCTTTATTTATTTATGTACCCAACAATGCATTACAATTTTGTTTTGTTGTATTTTATCCAGGTGTATAGAGGCATGAGTCTCTTCAGAGTATCTGATATCACACTGTAGTGGTGGACGTGAAAAGTATTCTTTTCTACCAACGACTGTGAACCCATTTAGATTTTTTTCTTTATAAAAATAATAAAACGAAATATTTAATAACTTGGAAGCAATATTTCAAACATTCAGAATCCACAATCAATTTCAAATCTCAAATCTTAAAAGAGGACAGCATAAATTCGTAAATAAATACAAATAACTTCTCTATGTAAAGAGAAACTACTGGCTAATTTTATTTTATATGCAGTAATTGTTTCTTCTCTGGAGAAAAAAAGGTTAAACAAATCTGTAGTGCTGCAAATATACTAACAGTGTGTTTTGGGATTTAACAGGTCCAAAGGACTATAGCTAAGCAGATTCAGATGGTGAAACAGATTGGAAAAGGTCGCTATGGGGAAGTTTGGATGGGAAAGTGGCGTGGCGAAAAGGTAGCTGTGAAAGTGTTCTTCACCACAGAGGAAGCCAGCTGGTTCCGAGAAACAGAAATATATCAGACAGTGTTGATGAGGCATGAAAACATTTTGGGTGAGTCTGTATAGCAATGTTCAAGGTTTCCTAGCTTTTCTCTATTTTTCTGTTAACATCTGCCTATTAACTCATCTGTCTAGACCTATTATGAAATATATAGACATTTTCTTCTTGGCGTGAGCCCAAGAATGTCATAAGCTTCTAATGGGAGACCTCACAGGAGGAATGACTAAGGTACTTCTATGAATGAATGTTGGGCTGGAAATGGAACACTCTAATATTTTTTTCTTGAGGGACAGGAAATGCAAATGTGATTCCAGCATTTCTTAAGGTTTCTTAGAGATTTGAAGGAGCACATTTTTGTTTGATTGTTGTCAAAAGTTATAAGAATTTTATTTGCAGGGTTTATTTATATCCAGAATTTATATGGATAATCAATTTCCTTTTTATTTTCTCCAGTTAGAAATGACCTAGCTAGATCATTCAAGTGTCAAGAGTGTAAGCTAATCTGAAGTGTATGCTTTAACTATAGTCCCTGTTTTGTAAACAGTGTCTTATATGTAACTATAATACCATGAGTTATTTACTGTTAACTTAAAATTAATTTAAATATAAACAACTGACTAGAAAGAGATCATGTTTTCAATACAAACCCTTAACATTTTCTCTACTTCCACTGTTTTGATAGCTTCTGATTGGTATTAGTAATTTCATACTGACATAGACATAATCAGAAAACTGAATGAAATGCTAAACAAAAGACACCTGTGACAGAAAATGAGAGAGGATATGAATTATTCCTGATAATATTCAGAAAACACTTAGCTCCAAACCTTTTTGTCTTTTTTTTCTTTTAGGGTTCATTGCAGCAGATATCAAAGGGACAGGGTCCTGGACACAGTTGTACCTAATCACAGACTATCATGAAAATGGTTCCCTCTATGATTATCTGAAGTCCACCACCTTAGATACTAAATCAATGCTGAAGTTAGCCTATTCTTCTGTCAGTGGCTTATGTCATTTACACACTGAAATTTTTAGTACTCAAGGCAAACCAGCAATTGCCCATCGAGATCTGAAAAGTAAGAACATCCTGGTGAAGAAAAATGGAACTTGCTGTATAGCTGACCTGGGCCTGGCTGTTAAATTTATTAGGTCAGTATCAAGATGAACAAGTACACTTTTTATGATTCTTTTCTATGACTTTTTATAGATTACACATTTTATAGTTCAGTGCTTCAAAGATATTTAGTAGAAGAAGGATTTTATTTATTTTGACCTTTCTTGGGAGTGGAAAAAGAAGAAATATTTTATTTGCAATACAGAGTGTTTCAGTCAGTCCTGTGGTTTCTGTGCTTATCAGTGTCCTGGCTTCAAGATAGAGTTGAGTCATTAGGATCCTAGCTGTCATGAAGCTGTTTAGAAAAGAGGTAGCTAATATCTGGGATTATGTGGTAGAATCCTGAATAACATATATAAGTAGGAAAAGGTTTTAGGAAAGATCTACAGATTACGTAGTGATAAAGGCAGTGTTTTTATATGATAGAAGAAAGATAACTTGCCTAGATGTTCTGTGAGAAATGTTAGAAACTAATAAACAAAACACAGCCAGTGTGCAGCACTGTTATACTGTAACATAAACAGTGATTATAATACCTGGACACATAAATCAGTACATGTTATAAAGCAGTGGTTTTCGGACCCCTGGAGGTTCTTTGGAGTGACGTCAGTAGCTTCCACAGAATGGAGAGGAGGAACGCCCAATAGTTGGAATATTATTTTGCTTACCCGCACTCTCCTTAGAGCAGCCCCTTTTATCTTACAGATGATTTAATTAGGAAAAAATGATTCTTCTGCTTTCAAAACCAACCAAACAAAATGGGTTTGTAAACCACTGGCATAGAGGGGAATCATATAACCTTTTAAAAAACTCATCTTAGGCTTAGCTTTTATTAAATTTTTGGACCCTCTCGTGGATTTTTTTCGAAAGATGACTCTGTAGGATATGGAACAGGGAACAAGGGAAAGTCATGGAAATGATGAAAAGCTTGGAAAATAAAATTCATGAGGAAGGACTAGTAGATTTGTATTTTCACGCAGAAGGGAAGAAAGAGGTGTGATTTAAAAATAGGCCCCAAATACAAGAAGGTCTTCACCATTTAGAGGATGACAAATTGAAGTTCTTGATCTTTAAAAACAAAGCAGGAGGAAATGATTTGGACTGTAAATTTGTTTGAAATGCGAACCTCCTGCCCAGAAAGATTATTAAATCCTCAATCTCTTCTGAATTCTTTTTTTTAACTTACAACCATTTTCAAGTCTCTTTTACCAAATAATTTTTCCCATTTTGTTTCTCAAGTTACCACCTTCTCTCCTTGCCTTCTCATTTAATTTCTCAAGAGTTCTAAAGAGTAATCTGCTTTCACAATCTAGTAAATTCATAATATTGTATGATTTGATTTCTGCTCCTTTTTCTTCTGAACCTCCTTTATTGATCGTTTGTTACCACAAGGCTAATTGTCATTCCACTCTCCACAGTACCTAAGCCTTCCTTCCTTCTGCTTTCATGATGTGCCTTTCTATTCCAGGTTCACCTTCTTTCTCTTTAGAGGGTCTGCCTCTGTCTATTTAAATATTTTCCTACTGCTAGATTTCCTGCCATATCTGCTTTTCTTTCCTAGTTCCCAGTTTTGATCGATCCATTGTAAAGTGTGAGGTGCTTGACATTTCCTTTGTTTCCTAAGTTTTTGGTTTGCTCAACTGAATGAATTATGTCCCCATGATATTCCCACTTGAACTGGGCCGGTTTGAGTTCTCTCTATCATTTTTCTAGATTCTAAAGTAAAGCATTTTGTAATTACTTCCTCTTCATCTTTCCTATTTTTAATTTTTTTCTATATAATGCTGTTAGATTTATTTTCTCGAAGCATAGTTTTAGACATCAGAATAATTTCATGGTTTCCTATGGCTTTGGGTTAAAATGTAGTTTATATTCTGAACACTATACTTTGTCACACCTTCAAGTATTTTTAACATGCTTTTATCCTGACTTGAATACCCAACATCCCCTCTTCTATTTAGATAACTGCTACTAATCTGCACAGTTTCTTCCTCTGGAACACCTACTATTCCTTTACAAGTCTGACTTTAAGTTAGTCTTCTTTAAAAATAAAGTTAGTTTTCTTATATTCTCCTGTGAGACCCTGTGCATACTATCATGACATTTTTCACACTGTTCTACAGTAATCATTGACTATTTATTCGTCATTTGCATTGGAGACTAAGCTTCATGAAGGCAGACACCATGTTTTTCTCAAGTTTGCATTCCTAGTGCCTTTCCTTGATGCCCATTATTTAGGTGTTGCTTCAAAATCTTGTATAATGGATAAATGAGTGATTACTTATGGACTGTGGGATGAAGAAAAAAAGCACATTTCTTAGCTGCAGAAATTCTACATGCTCTGAGTTAAATCCACCTTTCTAGCTTTATATCCCACAAACTCTCCAACTTGTATGCTTTCTTTTGCAAAACCGAAGTACTTGTGTTTTTTTCCATGTATATTCCATGTTTGCTACTGCCTTGCATTTGACTGCACAGTTTCTAGCTTGGAAGGCCCTTGCTTCTCCATGTACCTTAATTTAATCTCAGAGTTACCTTTAAGTCACTTTACTCATCCCCCAGCTAGAAATAATGACGTCATCTTTTTACTCCTGCAGTAATTCCCTGGTCCTTGCCTGCTGATATTATAATTATTTTAGTACATACATCATCTTTTTCACTAGTCATTGGGCATCTTGAGAGCAGGATCCATGCCAAATTAATTAATGTATTTCCCATTTGACATGACATAGTGAGTTATCCATTATAGGTATTCTAACGTTGTTTTGAATCAATAAATGTTGGCTATATAAAAGTAATTGAGAACTCATCTTCTTTATGGACCTCAAAAGAAATAAGGAAAGTGGGTGTCTATAATATTTCTGAAACTTAGTTCTGATTAATGTAAGGGGAATGTACCAAAGGACCTTCTAAATTCCATGCAAACTCTGATTCTAGGAAGTAGAGGGGAATACTTTAAGGGATAATTCAGAGATTTATTTGGCATATAAAGACTAGTTCATCAAGAGAGGAAAGATCTGAGGATACTGGCTCAGATGAGCAACTGCGGTGGCTGTGGGATGCACAAATCTCATATGGCTAAAGAGAAGCTGTAAAAGCAATGACCGTTATCGGCCTCAGTTTCCTCTTCCATTAAATGGAGGTTGCATGTGATGTGATAATTTCGTATGTCCTTTTTACACCTTTATTTGCTATGTTTCAAAGGAACTATGCTCTTCTCAGTCTTTGAGCCCGCTTTTAAACCTTGCTTTATATGTTTCTTTGGCTTCCACTCTTTTCCTGACTTTCCTATTTTTGGGGTGTGTGTCTGTGCGTGTGCACACGCAGATATTTAGAATCTGTGTAGGGTCACAGCTAACCCAGTGTTGAGTTCTCATCCTTCATATGTGAACTTCCTATGAAAACTTAATCTTTACCCTGGTTTCTATGTGGTAAGTGTTCTCTCAGGCTTTTGAGTCATTTCTGGGAGGTTCCTAGGAAAGTTTAGAGCCACAGAGAGTGGGCTTGCTTTAGAGATTTCCTGCTCATATAATCTATATAAATCAATATAGATTTCCTCTATATTGATTTCTTCATACACTCACTTGAAAATGATGTAAGTGCTGATACATTGCCTGCTCTACAGAGATTTACTACAGTTGATGCCGTGGCAGACATTACCTTGCCTCCAGATCTCTCTTGTGGGGAGAAAACAATGACATGTGAAATCCCTTGAAGGAACTTAACAAAGCTTTTCATGTTTTACTCAGGAGGATCAAGCAACTTCTCTGGTCCTTCAGTGTCAGAATAATATATTTTCTCAGGGGGAAGATAAATCCTGGATTAGGGCCTCTGAGGTATTAAATTTTAAATAGAAAGCCTATAATGAAGACTGGGCTGTAACACAGATCTCCCAATTGGCGATTGTCAAATTGTCCAAGCGCAAAGGAGACAGAGTGGCCTAGCCCAGAGGGCACTAAATTTCCTCAGTCTTACTGATGTCACTCTTTTTAGCACTGTGTCTGGTTTGTATACTTAGTGGTTTTTGAAAAAAGTGACATGGCTAAATGACTTGCCAGAGTCACAGAACTAAGCTAATTAGTGGCTGAGTCAGCTCTCCCAGTCAAGATTTCTGCAGCCCTATCTGCCTTCTGTTGAGTTTTCAGTTCTGAAGTTCTGTTTCTAAGAAACCTTGAGATTTCTCAGGATTTAATTATAGAAGTAATGAATCCTGTTGAAAAGTACAGCAGAAAACTTTCCTCTTTGGTTAACATGTGACTAGGCAGAGGTCAGTGCAGCACATCAGTTCCGTAGCTATTTATAAGATGTTCCAGTAAACACGAAGGGGTGTGCACAGCCTCTTCTCGAAGCTCGTGAGAATTGTTCATGTCATTTTCGTCTAAGAGGTGATTTAATAGCCTCCGTTATATGTCGTGCGTGGTTAATTTCAAGCACCGGTTGTAAACCACAAGCAAGCCAGTGTCCTCCCTCTCATGTCTTCTGCTCCCTGCACTTCTTTCACTGTTCTTTCAAGTTCAGGTCTTAGTTTTAAAAAGCTTTTAGCTTATTAAAGGTATACAGTGTTTGCTTCTTTTCTTTCTCCATTATCTCTTTATCCCCTTTCTCCTTCTCTCCTCTTTCCTCTGTTTTGGGCATCATCCAGCAGAAGACCCACACATGTGCCCAAAGGCTCAATGAGGTAGAGCCACAAGCTGGCTGTCAATACCCCAGCTTTCATGAAAGTCTCCCTTCTGTTGATGGCCTAGTGGGAACGTGCACTGTGCTGAACCCAGCTGTGGCTTTTTCCTTTACATAACACTTCTTGTAAGAATTCTGACTGTGAGTATATAATTAGGAAGCTTAATTATCATGACAAAATATTTGATATAAAACAAAGTTGAGACGGGTACTATATTTTTAAAATCCTCTTATTGCCTGCCATCAATATAAAAATCTTCATCCAGTGCATGATACTGAGGGTAGAAGGCGTGCCCTGCTCTGCTGAGTCCTGCCTGTGGGGTGCTCAGGTTCGGTCTCCAGCCCGTTCAGGATCCTAGCTGGAGGCTCCACTTTCAGCCTCTCTGCATCAATGGGACTTCTGTGATTTCCTCCCCTAGTTACTCTGAACCCCGAGGTGCACACACACCACTCAGCACCAGGGGGACACTGCAGGCAGCCCACCCGGTACAGGCAGTAAGGTGGTACACTGTCTGTAGACATGAACCCCCATTACAATGATCACCATGTGCCAAAATTCCAAACAATATTAGTGGTACCATGCCTCTCCCAGCAGGGTGCATTGCTTTCACCATCCCTTCCCTAGTAAGCCCCTCCCTGGAAACTGCAGAAGAGGAGAGAAATATCTCAGTTTTGTATTTTTTCCTCCCCTCAGTCTCTCTTTGTCTCACAGTATCAGTGTCGTTGTTTCTTTCCTCCTGCCTGAAGCAGTGACCTTGAGAACTCTCTCTCACCTTTGTGTCCTAGGTGAGAAGCGCCACTCAAAGTGTGCATGCACTTAGGAAGCCTTTTGGTCATCAGTGTAGACCTCTTAGTCCACTGTGCTGGCATTTTCTATATCATACCGCTGTCTTCCAGGGGACTTTGGCCAGAAATATGAACTTGATGTTCATGCCTCTTTATGCAGCCCCAGCTGAGGGCACCTTGCATTTTAAAATTAAAATCAAATTAGACTTTGTCATCCTCATTCCTACCCAATACAGTAGGGAGCTCAGTGTCATTCACAGTGAATATGAGAACCCCAAGGAGCTTCTTTTCCTCTTTGCCTTCAGCCTTAAACCTTTGATATTTGTGGTACCTTTTCCACTTGATGTAGCTGCTGGCTCTTCTTCCCCAAACATTTTCAGCCCAAGGTTGAAGACATTAATGGGATATATTGTAGGGTAGTGCATAAAATTTAGTTAGAAAATTGATGCTACCAGAACATTTTTCCTGATTTTTTTCCTACAGAGGGTTAACATCTTGTCATGACCCTAGGCCAGAGGGGAGAACCCCTCTTCTCCCTTGCCGACTTATCCCTTACCCCTTACCTCCCAAGTTACTGTTCATTTCCTACTCAGTAAATTATATATTTTTATTTTTTCATTTACAACATATTTAATTATAATATATTTTAAACATATAGAAAAGTGTAACATTTACAAACATTATCAATTTCCTTATTTTATCTGGTCTTTCTTTTTAAAAGAAGTATAATGTTGAAGATAGCCCTGCTGCACGCTCCTCCCTGTTTTATTCCCCTGTATCCTTTGCAGAAGTAACCGGTATCTGGAAGTTGATATTGTCTTTCCTGAATATGATTTTATCATTCGACTACATATGTATGTGGCCCCTGCAGTGACTATGTTTGGGGTTTGAAGTTCTTTTTTCCAACTCCGCCTCCTCTTATGCATATCCATTTTTTCCTGCCAACTTTATTTCTTACCCTACCCCACCCCTCCATGGAAAAGAAAGCCAGGGAAAGCTGAAGGCATCCTGACCTTTTCCGTTTCCTCCTTTCTTCTTGGCCCTTTTCTTCAGTTACTTCATCCTCTATCGTTACATCTCTATACCATCCGACTCTACTTCCATCTCTTCTTTTATTTTTGGCGCCCCAGTGTTCAGTCACTTTAATTTCTGTTTGTAGCCTTGAAGATTAACAACTCAGTTTTTCTCTGCTCTTATTTAGGACAGGTAAGATGATGTTTCTGAAAACCTGAGAGGGAAATGTGGTTTAATTACTTTCAAATATAGACACATTCCTGAGGGAAGAAGGGGCAGAGCTCTATGTCTTAGAGGATCTGATAATTTATAGTATCAGATACGAATTACTTATAATTGGCATGCTTATTGTTTAAATGTAGTGCTAACGGCATTTGTTATTAGGTTACTAGTAATCTTTTACAAAATTAATTTGCGTAACAAAATTCTGTTTATTACTCTTGATATCGATAATGTCTTATTTTATGAGCTGTACGAATAGAGATTTTTACATTTCTCTTTAAATTATCCAAAGTGGAGCTTACTGTAAACAGGCTTTTTTCTTCTTTCATGTAAAGTATATTACTTAACTACCATGTGCAAGGCACAGTGTAAATGGAGATGGATCAGGGCCATACTCTTTAGGGACATACCAAATGGTTATGAGGGATGCTCAGGGCTGAAAAAAGCTTACAATCTGAGGTTCGAAGACAGATCCGTAATCGGATACTACCAGATGAGGACATTTATTCAGATACAGTGAGGGAGAACTCCTTGGGTGGGGAGAGCAAGGTGGAGGAGAGGCAGTAGTGCTGAGTATTCGTGACTTATGTTAAGGGGCTCTTTTTTGAGATTCAATGCACCAAACAACAACAACAACAACAACAAAAACTTGATTGTATTTTATTCAGTGTTTGAGAGAATGAGAGTTTAGGGATAAACTATATATAGTCTGGCCTTTATAAATCTTAAATTGATTCTATCATTAGGTAACAATTACCTTTCAGTTTTCCCATAGATGTTTCAATGTCACACATTCCATTAGCTCTTCCTGACCCCCAAAATCCAGATGAAACATTAAGGAGCTAAGAGTAATAATGCAAAGGAAATGTCTAAAATCTTTATCAACTGTGGTCAGAGTATATCTCTTATCTAAAAGCACTCCTGTCAGGACCATGCTGAGCCTGTTCTTGGTTTCATTTCCCAGTACATATTCTGAAATATCATTTAGGCCCTTTACCAGCTTCTTGCCATCTGCAAACCCCCTACTTGGGGCCACCACTGTCTTTCTCTAATGATTCAAAATTATAAATTAAAATGCGCATGTAACACATTAATGAAATACCTACTGTGTGCACAGGAGAGGTGTTTTCAGGTGGTAGAAGAGGAGGAGAGAACTTTATCGTTGAAGGTGGAGTGTTTGCAAAATCTGATATTTTTTCCAATTTATAATTAAGCCCCTTTTCAACTCACTTTCCTTCCTTACCATTTACAATTTTGGTACATAAATGACATTTTCCTGTTAAACCATGTGGGTAAATATTAAGAATTCATGTTTTAACCTCTTTTCCTAGTCAGGAAAGAGTCCAGAACACTTAGACTTACATTTACTGATAGTAAGGAATACCAGTTGTTGAGCTTTTTTTTTCTTTCTTTTTTTCATTTAAAAAAATTTACATGTCTACTTTTATTTTAGGAAAAGAGGCTCCTTCAGAGTCGTAGCTCCTAGGAGATCATAAGAGACCTAATGAACACACTGGTGACAAGTCTGCTGCAATTAGATTAAAGATTTTAGCTGGAAGTGAGTTTAAAAAGGTTCTTAAAAAGAAACTTTGTGTTTGTAAGTTTTAGTCAATGTAAATAGTTTGAAATATACAGAGGGATATCTGCCACCCTTCAAGTTTTTCCAAATGATACTACATATTTTATGTTTTAGAAGATAGAGATTGAGGCAGTAAGTTCAAATCCAGAGGGTTTTTTTCCAAAAACCATTAGTATTTTAGTAAATTTAGTATTGTCTGTAACTCAGCATGATAAAGGTGATAGTCGAAACACCTCTTTTCAATATTGAGGAGAAAAAACATGTACGCACTTGAGAGTCAATGAGAGTGACAAAAAGAAAAAAAAATGCTTTCTTGGGGATCAGGAGATAGGAAAGTTTATCCAAGATTTTCCACAAACTTCAGTTTAATAACAGAGTTTTTGTACCTTTTCTGTTTTATGGTTACTTCATCTATCAAAGCTGGAATTTATTGCTCTTCTTAGTGTCACTAGTTTCTATGCAGGTGCTCCTTGTTTATCCTATTATGTGCTTAGTTCTGTGCTGGCAGTGATTTTACACCTCTCATCTTATTTAATCATCAACCTATTAAGCAATAGTAGTTCAACCACTTTGAAACATGGTCTCATAACTTCATCTCCAGCTCACTGCACTGAGGCAGTGGTTCTCAAGTGCCAGTCTGTAGTTTGGTGACCATCCAGCATGAATTTCCTCCAAGTCTAGGGGAACTAATAACAACGGAACATGTTGTGAAATTTTCATAAAACTAAAGATATTAAATTATTTTTCCCCCTTTTATTAAAATATATCTTATTTGATTCATGAAATGATAGTGATAGTAGAAAGCTTTTATTTATAGGTCCCTGCTTATCAAAGTAAAACGTTTGCAAATCTTTGCTGGACCTCTTCTCCCTGCTCCTCATTTTTTATGTGTTTGTAGATCTAAAAGCCTCACAACACTTAGGTTAAAAAAATACTGTCTCAAACAGTCTAAATTGGTATGTGCACATGCCAATTTTAAGAGCAAAGCCATTAAAAGAAGAGAAGGAAGATATTTTTAGACGTTTAATAAATAGATATTTAGAAATTATTTTGAGTTTGTACTTGATCTAGTGGTAATACAGTCTTATATTTTGCAGCTTTGTTCTTATTTAATGTCATCTTCATTGGGATTTTACCTATGAATATTTAATATAACTTTTGGCAAGACATGTTTTTCAAGGAAATGCTATTCCCTGAAGGGATATATCCTCCCTGACCTTTTACTAAAGCCTTGGTTCAGGACTCACCTTGATTTATTTGTTGGTCCTCTTTAATGCTGATAGCCTTCTGCTTTACTTTTTCCTTAGTGATACAAATGAAGTTGACATACCACCCAACACTAGAGTTGGCACCAAACGCTATATGCCTCCGGAAGTGTTGGACGAGAGCTTGAATAGAAATCACTTTCAGTCTTACATCATGGCCGACATGTACAGTTTTGGACTCATCCTTTGGGAGGTTGCTAGGAGATGTGTATCAGGAGGTAAGTAACAGTGATACTGTTGGAGCTATTACAGATTCTTTGTTTCTGACTGGAAGTCAAAGTTATCATTTTTTCCACAAAAAACAGATTTTATTTTTCTCTTTATTTCTGTTTATGCAGTCACAATTCTCCCAGGAAATGATATTTCACATCTTAGAATTATCTTTGACTGCCTCCTTCCTCCACCTACTACTGCGAAATCTCTTGTAGACACATTGTCAACTTCCTCTGCCTTTTCAAAGATCAACACCTTCTACTAAATGTGTTGTCTCATTTCTCTCTTAAGCTCTTCCTCCAGCAGTTGCTCCATCAAGTCACCTTCCTTCCTTGCTGCTTCCAGCTTCTTCTTACCAACCTTCTGAGCCTCATCCCCAACTCCAATGCCCCATTTCCTGTGTCTTCCTTTGTGCAGATGAAGTCAGAGATATAAGTGTGGGGTGGGATACCCATTCTTTAATCACCCTACTTATTGACTTTATATAAAACTTCCTCATAAAGCAGTTTGAAAATATCAGTTTACCTCAAAAGGAAATTAAAACATAAATGATATATTGGTTATGATAATTTTTCTACAAACATAAGGATTTCCTAGTAAAACTAACTGAATAAGAAGACATTCTTAAATACCCTGAGGTGTTATTGCTTGTAGTATTTTGCTTACTGCTACTTAATATGTCTTTGAGTAGGCTCCACCATCTGTGGAGTGGAGTCTTAGACTCTTTAGTATCAAGTACTGTGTTTATGGTTCTACTCATGGTTGTGCTTGTGAAGAAACCTTGATGCTTCTGCTGTTCCTCAAGTTAAACTCGCCTACTTGAAAGCTCAAGCTTGCCCAAGATTCTGAAAGTGTACCCTGTACTTAACTAGTATTGGTATTTATTCTTCGACAAATTACTAAACTTTTCTTTGTGTCAATTTTCTCATCTTAAGATGGAGGCAAATTATTATATCAACCTCAGACAGTTGTGAGTTTTCAATGATTGTAAAGAGAATTCTAACTTCCTGGTCTATAGAGTACACTCAGTACACGTTAGCTGCTACTTAAAATTTTCATTTTGGTTGGTAGAATCTTAACTTATTTAAACATAAGGAGAAACAGTTAATAACTAGGCATTCACACTTTTGTAGAAAGATCATCTTCAATGATGTTATGCCTTCTACTCACTCTGGGAATTCTGAGCCTGTCATAAGCTTAATTTGAAATAGAACACATTCTCTCTGAAGTGATAGAACTCTTTGTCCAAAAGGAAAGTTAATGTAGGAAACTTTTCCTAACCAGATATTGAATAAATCTCCCATCACAATTATGAAAAAGAAAAGAAGTAACCAAGATATAAATTAATATAATTTATATTAACTAACTGCCTATGCCTTGATTTTATTTTTTTAAAGAGCTGATGAGCTTATTTTTTACTAATATGTTTACACTTATTTTAGATAGGTTTATAGGAGTAGTAGAGTATAAGATTACTTTTCTAATTATGTTCTCCTGAACATCTAAAGCAAATAGGGCCACAAGACTCCTGTATTTGAAAGCCTGGGGGCTGGAATATAGGAGAAATGATTCTCAGCATAAAAACAAGGGAAGTATTTCTTGATTTGCTAGGGATGTCTTTGCCTCTGGAGATTTGAGAGGAAGGAATCTCTCAAATGGAAGGAAATTTTAATATAGATAATACATGTAATTGTACTCTGCAGTCTCAACAGGGGACAGAAAACGTGGTGAGTTGGAATGGTCTGAAAAAACTTTTGAACCTTCTGGTCCTTTATGATTACATATGCGTTTGAGTTTACTTTTTAAATGGCATAATACAGACTCCAGATTTTGTCAGAGTAAATCCCTAGTGAATTTAATGATGCATTAGGTAATCTGCTAGACTGGTGGCACTAAACTGTTCCCTTGTCTCTGTATGAGATTTTCATGTATTTGTCAGAGATGTGAGTCCCAGCTCTATCACCTACCAACTCTATGGCCTTGGGCTAGTAACTTAATCCCTCAAAACCAAGTTTCCCCATCTATACAGTGTGGATAATAATGCTGTCTCATAAATGTGCTTGTAAAAATTTAATGTTATATAAATGTTGAATTACTATGTTCTACACCTGAAACTAATAAAATATTGTATGTCAACTATACTTTAATAAAAATAGAAAAGATAAATAGCATACCTACCTCCAGGCTTGGTATATAATAGGCTCTCAACAAATGACTTTCTTTTCCAAAGAGGCAAAGCACACAAAATTCTATTCTTCAACTCCTTCCTTTATGAAGATGTTAGAAGTTTTGGGCTAATCTTTCTAGTTCAGGTAGTTTGGAGTGAAGTAGATGCATCCAGATGAAGGTCTTTCAAACTTTGGAAGAGAGAAAGTTTTCAGTTTTCGGGAACAATTAAATGGCAGCTAACGTGGACATTTTGATAACATAATTGCATGATAATGAGAAAGGAATAAGGCCTATAGTTCAAAGATAGACTTTGGTTAATTCATAATTTTATATTATTAGCTCTGTGCCTGTTGTAATATATACATCTACCCCAGCGTCGATGCATCAGTCCAGCCAGGCAATGACACCAGTGTTAGGCACTGAGAAAATATGAGATGAATAAGATGGACACGGTCCTTGCCCTCAAGATGTTTCTGAGCCATTGTCTTGAGAATTAGAAATGAAGTGAGCATCCCCTATGTTTAGACCCTGTGTTTTTATTATCTCACATAGAGGTGAAACACAATGGAAGGAAATATTAATATAAATAATACATATAATTATGCTCTAGAGTCTCAGCAGGGGACAGAATATGTGGTGAGTTGGAATGGTCTGAGAAAATTTTTGAACCTTCTGATCCTTTATATATGCGTTTGAATTTACTTTTTAAATGGCATAATACAGAACTCCAGATTTGTCAGAATCCATCCCCAGTGAATTTAATGATGCATTGGATAATCTGCCAACCTGGTGGTATCATATTGTTCAGGTTAAAAGCAGTGACATTTCTATAAAAGATGATTTAGGATAAGGGAGCAAAAGTGCTCCAGAAAGATTGTTCACAGCAGTGTCCTCTGAGGACAGCCTACTTATAATTATTGTGAGGAGTTAATCAGATGGGGTACGAATGAAGCTGTAAGTAGCTTGCTTTTTTAAAGGATAAGAGGAAAAAGGTAGAAATTATATACTAGGAAAAATGAAATAGAATTCAGCATGATAAGTGTCATTTCCCTAAAAATGATATCAATTTGTATTTCCTAATCCTTCTTTTAACAATACATATTTTTTCTAATAGTTATGTAGTCCATGTAGAAAGTTTGGATAAGTACAGAATAAAAGAATAAAAGAATAAAAGAATAAAAATCAGACAGTTCTGTGCCTAAAAAATCATGGTTAATACTTTTAGGTGTGTATGATTTTCAAAATTTTAAATGTATAAAAACATAGTCTTAAGATTAAGCAGGAAAAAATGTAAATCTGACATTTTTTCAAGTAAAATACACTGCCAAATTTATTATGAAATTCATAATCTCAACTGCAATAATAGAAACAATCACATATTATGCAATATGAGTTTGGGATGTGTCTGCCAAATTCGTGTTGAGATTTAATATAGTTTTTTTTTTTTTTTTTAATTTGGCATACAGGAGCCTTCATAAAATAGGAAATAAATTTGAGATCTTGTTTTACTTTGTTTTTGGAAATGAGAAAAAAGGCTTGAAGACCTATAATAATATGTTTCGATAGGCTTTCTAGTCATTTAAAAAATCAGATTAAGGGTCATTTGGACTCCTTTTTTCCACTATTTTTTTTTTGGTATTTTTCAGCCTGAACTTGTCTTTAGTACTGATAGAACTTTTTCGAGAACAATTTGTATGTTAGACTTTTATTTCCACTTCACAGAAAAAAATAATAAAACCATATTTTCAGGTATAGTGGAAGAATACCAGCTTCCCTATCATGATCTAGTGCCCAGTGATCCCTCTTACGAGGACATGAGAGAGATCGTGTGCATCAAGAAGCTACGCCCCTCATTCCCCAACCGATGGAGTAGTGATGAGGTAAGGCTTGAGGTAACTACACGCTATCACCAACCTCTAAATAGACTTCTCTTTTTTGCCAAAACTCCAGATAGTCTTCTTTTTTGTTCTGATGGTGATAGGAATGGCGCCTCACTGCAATAATTTACATGGAGCTATGGTAAATTATCTGTTCCTTTTTTTCTAATTTGATGTTGCCACTTACAAAATATATTGAGTGGGTTAACATTTAGCCTGCATAGCGGATAAGATTATTTCATTTATTCGTGATGTGCTGACGTTTGCATAAATACTATTATTTCTCTCTGTATGTGTTTTAAAGCATCGTGAGTTTTCTCCATGACAAACCCACATACAATGTTCTCTCATTTTGATGAGAGAAAAGATAGCTTTCTGAAGAATCAAGTTTTCTGTATACAGAAGTGATACAAGTTGATCTAGTTGAGATGCCTAACTGTGCTGCGCATCTTTATTAATAAGGATGATGGGATGCTATTTGAATAAATCCACACGCAGCGAGACTCTCAGGATGTAATGGTGAAACCTACGGTCTACAAAGGAGCTGTTCAGATGGAGGAAATGAGTGGGGTGGGCCTGGCCTTTCCTGATTCATATCCTATTCTACATTCTGTGCATCCATCCTCTAAGCGTGTAAACTCATCCATATCTTGGAGTGCTCTGGCAGGCTGGAACATTCGGAGATGAGTCTGAAGCATCCCCAGAGGGGAAGGGAGGAAGACTCATTAAACATGTGCCAAAGCCATTGCAAACACATGGACAGAGCACTGTTTATAAACATACTTTAGTGTTAAATGCACTTAAAAATAACCTTCGGTTCCTTGATTTTGAGTCTAGTTACTGAAACGCTAAATAATACATGTTTTCCAGTGAGCCATGGAGAAAACTTTATCAGATGCTAGAGTTATATTATTTTGAGGGTGGTTATGAGCACTGGTATTATCTTGAATTCCTTCACTGAGGATTTCTAATGAAGTGAAATTGTGCTTTTCAACATAAAGACCAATAATTGATGTACCACAGGAGAACACAGGAGAAAGTTTTAGCGAAGCTCTCACAGGTTATTAATCTTGTTAAATGTGACAGTGTGATGCTATTATTGTAGCAGACAGCTGTGATTTAGGAATAACCAATTTTTTTGAATAGTATGGAATTAGATAAAAGAGTTAAGCTTATCAAGTGTTATAAACAATCCGGGCATATGGAGTGGAATACAGACTCTCTGGGTATTTTTGTATTTATTTAATACTGACTTCAAAGACATTCTTTTACAAAAAAATCAGCAAAACCACCTGCTTGCTCCCATCAGAAGGAAGACATGAAAATCTGTTTTAGTCATTTAAAATTTGCATGAAAAAAGAATTTCTACAAAATTTTATCTATAAGGTTTTAAAAGTATCTTTTAAAAATGTGTTCAAACTTTGGAAACCCAAAACTAAGTCAGATATCAAGTACCGGTCTTGCAGGTAATAAGAATGTTTCTCTAGAATTACTCCCAGTTTTCCTTTTCCCTTCCCACAGTGTCTAAGGCAGATGGGGAAACTCATGACAGAATGCTGGGCTCACAATCCTGCGTCCAGACTGACAGCCCTGCGTGTTAAGAAAACACTTGCCAAAATGTCAGAGTCCCAGGACATTAAACTCTGATTTGAGGGGAAAAAAATAAGCACCACTGGAGAAAGCCAGTAGATATTCTTCTGTTTGTGGGCAGAGCAAAAGATGTTCCAGAAGCATCCACAGTACAAGCCTTGAACATAGTCCTGCTTCTCAGTGGGTTCAGCCTGGCCTCTCAGGGAGCAGCCTGGACGGAGACAGAGAAATTCCCAGAAACACGGATTCATCGGGTCTGTTTGTAGGAGGGAGAAATCGCTCGGGTAACTTGTTCAAGATATGATGCATGTTGCTTTCTAAGAAAGCCCTGTATTTTAGGATTGCCATTTTTTTCCCCCCAAAAGATGCTTTAATTTTGCCAAAATAAAACAAATAATGTAGATGTTTTAAGGTTTATACTGGTATAGTGTTATAGTTTAAATAATAACAATGAAAGTTCTTCCCAGAATTTCTTCTGGAAGGCAAATTAAAATGTGTTTTTTCATTGGTAAAAATCTTGTTGCACTCTACAAACCAAAAGTCAGTCTGTGAAGTTGGAGAATGCAGAATGGAACTCATCTGAAAAGCCCCCGCCCCCGCCTCCTCAGACCACTTTGGCCAGCCCTGCACTGGGGGCTGCCACAGCAATGTGAATGCACCTGGGTACAAGTACCACCTGTCTGGGCCCACATTTTGGGATTCCTGCAGGTTAACCGTTTGCAGCTTCAGATGATGTGGAACAAATGAAGATTTTATGTGACTTTATCAGAAGTAAGTGTCAATGCTATTCTTCAGAACCACTTTGTGTTTCTGATTCTGTTAGGCATTTCTTTCATGATAAAATCCCTTCCTTCTCATTAAACATAAACAAATCTCTTTTTTATGTGCAGGGAATTGACCCATGCATACTTTTGATCTCTTAAATGAAAGGATCACTATTAAATAAAATTGTCATCAGTTGTGTTGAAGACAAGGCATTTTAAAATAGAGATACTTTGCTCTTGCATTGTAAGAAGACCATGTCAGTAAGGTCGAGGGTGGGGATGCAAATGACTTGTTTCTTATATATGCAGAAAAGCCAATCACAGAAGCACACGGGAAAAAAGTATGCACACTTTATTTTGTATAAAACAAGTTTCATTTGGTTATTCTCTCCCTTTTGTGTATGAGTTAAGGGAAGGAAGCATACGTCAGGTTAATTTAACTGAATTTTAATTTAAATATAGATAAATATAACCTCCAAATGGTACAGCAGAAGAGTTAGTTGAAGCCGCAAAATATTATGGCTGCTGTGATTTATTATTCTAGAATAGATATGGGTCAAGTATATACATCTTAAGTGATAATTTCACACCTTAGGAATGCTGGCTCAATTTATTTTATTTTATTCTCAAGATGTTAAATTCACTTTTTTATTTATTATCTTCGTATACTCTGTGGCACTTGTGTAAAACATCTCCTCACCTACTCAATTCTACGAGGTTTTAACTTTTGAGCAACATATATCAAACCATTGACAGGGCCGATATTTCTTGCAACAGGAAAATAAAGTTTAAAATTGTACACGTCCCTCTCACCTTTATGCATTTACATTTCCTTACTATGGTTTTCTTTTGCTTCTTAGAAATTCTGTAGTGTTTAGTAAAGAATTGGGAAGTGCTTACCCTTGGCCTTTTTTAAAAAATGATGTTCCTTCCAGTATACTCCAGGGGGCAGTGTTTTACAACACATTTCCACCACTTGGTGACCGAAGGATGGACGTTTTTGAAAATTTGACAGCTGCATGAAAAATGAGAAAATATTTTCCTCACCTCTGAAGTAGGCTTGCAGCTGGTGACTTGTTCGTTCAGAAAACATCCTAGAGCAGAGAGTGGTTGTGAGCTGTGCTTATAGTTTGGGAAAATCATCAGGAGAAACACAGTATTCTACATTCAGCATTCATGTCCCAGTGCTTCATAGCCACATTTTGTTTGTAACAAAGAAAGAAGATTTTCTCAATTCTTGAATATGAATAAAATTTCTGTTTTTTCAAAGATGAAAAACAGTTGGTTCCAAATATAACTCTAATTAGAATGCTGCTTTTGATGGTATTAAAATAACCTGAATAGCAATGTAAAGGTTCCTTTCTCTTGTGTCAGATCGTATTCTTTGTGATAGTTTAGAAAGAATATGTGGCAAGAACTAAGGGTGATGATCATCTGAGCAGGGGAGAGAAACTTCATTGCCTCTAATCAGATCATCTACAAACAAATAAGTAAACATTTATGCTGGTTAGTGGGGACATGTTTTTGTTTCTTGACTTTCCCTAAATTTAAAAGAGGTTGGACATATCACTTAGATAAAAACGTGTGTTCCTTTTGGCAATTTTTATACATGGATAACTTCAGATCAGAACATTTTGGGGGGAGATGATGATTTGAAAGTAAACTAGATTTCTAGGGAAGTATTGGTTCCAATGAAGAATGGCAGGAAATTTCTTCTATGTTATTTGTTTAGTTGCTTTGGAAAAACCAATAGCTTACTTTCTAATACTCAACCAGATGTACTCACTATGAACATTTAAAAATTATTCCTGAGATACTTCAAGAGACCCATTTAGTTTTTATAGTCTTTCAATGTGACAAGAATTTATTTATAAATAGATTTTTCTGTCTTACCAAAATCCGTTTTACTTAGGGAATACTAAATTGTTCTGAAAGAGACTACCTACTCACTTTCAAATAATCCTTTTTTGTTGTTATTTTTAAAGTCCTAGTAGCTCAGAAATGAATTTTGTTTTATTTTTGTTTGTTTGTTTTGTCTTTCGATAGAACCTGGAAATTAGTAATGTAGTTGAATTCTTACTATCAGAACGATTTCAAAGACTAAGATTTTCTTCTAGTCGCTACTCATCCCCTGCCCCAAGGAATCCTAAAATATTAGTTGGTAGCTAATATAAGTTTTATATGCTAAGATGTTCAGGTTTATAGTTTATGTGTATATATATTATATAAATATATATGTATATATAAATATTATGTTCAGTTTGGAGTCTGGCACAACTCCATTTTGTGGATTAGAGAGTAAAATATTATGGATGATAAAGTACTAAATGAAACATAATATTTATTTATGAAAGTGTGTAGATCGTTAAATCACAGATGACAGTGCTATGAACGTTGTGTGTGCGGAGACAGGCCTTTGACCTCCTGGAAAGCATCGCTCAAAAGTCATTAGTGACCATTCTTTTTATTCTCAGAACATAAAGCTTCTTAGAAAACATGCTCAGATTTTATTTACAGGGCATTCTTTGTTTCAATTGTTGTGTAATCAGGTATACAAGTACTGAATACAAACCGAATTTCATGTTCCTAGAGTCATGCATATTCATTAGAAGTTACATTGTTTTATGTTGTTGGTCTGTTCTGGTTCTTCTTTGTTGGTGGAAAGGCATTGAAAGAAGTACAGTTTTTAAACTTGAATAGTTTTATAGTTAAATCTCCTTAGAAAATTCAGTCACATAGTGGAAATGAGAGAAATGGCATCAGAAGTGATTTAGTTTAGCAATTATGATTCCTCTTCTAAAACAAAACAAAACAAAACAAAAATGCCATATTTTTTGGAGAAGAGTTGGCGATATATAAAGGGTTTTGTTGTCTTTTTCAAAAGAAGACTCATTTGTGTTCTTTTGGGGAACCAGTGCCTTATTGAATTTGTATATACTGTAATTATTCAGTACTAGGGAACAAACAATTGTATTTGTTACAAATTGTATATGGCTTTGTTTGAACATTCCCCCAAATAAAATGGTTTCATTCTCCCCTTGGAAAGAACATGTCTGTTATCTTGTAGTTGTGCCTTTTTTTGCTCTTTGAAAATATCACATTGTAATACCATGAAGAAGAGTGATGCAGGTAAGTTTGTACATTTGCTGGCGGGGGAATAAGAGAAATGGTCTGATGGCATCTGTTTTCTCTGTAATTAGGAGGTACACTCATCTGTTGAGAGTGAGAGAAAAGGTAGAGAAGTCAGTGGTTTATGAAAAGTGAGAAGGTTTAAAATTGTACATTGGAAAATGACAGCCCGATGATCATGGCCAACACTGAGGGCAGGGTTGATGATAACTGTGTGGTTTAGCGGCCAACGGCCTGGCCTCTGATCACCAGACAGCTTAAGTGACAGTAGACATCTTTTGACCTCTCGAAGACTCAGTTTATTCCCCTTAAAGATGAGAATAATACTCATATCTACTGCAAGGAGTGGTTTTGAAGATGAAATGAAATATGCATGCACTAACATGAGGTAAACAACCATTACTAAACATTAGCTATTATTACAAATTTATAATGCCCCTTTTCTATGTAGTTTTATCATTTTATTTTTCTATCAACAACCCAAGTGTAGGCATGGAGACTACAACAATTGGATTCATTTAGGGTTGGGGTTTATCAGGCATATAGAGCAATGGGTCATGGAAAATAATGATTATTATCATCAAGGAGATGGCTGGCATGGTCCAGAGTAGGGAAGAGTTTAAAGAGGAAGCAGCCGATGGGTCCAAAACAGTGAACCCTGATGGGGTTGAGTTAATGCACGTCCTGAGAAAGGGACTGTGGTCAGAGTGAAGACTAAAAGAGGGAGTAGGGAGAGTAAGTACAAGACTAAGGGTGATCACTGGTGTGGGAAGGTTTAATTAGTGGACAAGATTACTGGTAATAAAAGAGGAACCTAAAAGCCAGGACTTGCGCCTGTCTTTATGGATTTTGAGTCTCCCCAGCATGATGGCAGTCTAGGGAGAGGAAGATTGCGAGGCAAAATTCAGCAGGGCCACAGGAGGATGGGTGGGCAGTCAGTGAGGGGCAGAGGTTAGAGATGGAGGCTGGTAGGGCCTGATGGGCTGAAGTGCAAAGGAGTGGGTTTCTGTGCCAAAGCAATGATCTGGAAGCAGGAGAACAGTATGAGATATACGTGATCCTTCCTCCTAACTGCGAGGTACCTGGGCTGTGGAAGAATGGAGGCTATTGTTGTTGTCCTTGAAACAGTGTCCCTAGGGAGGAGGAAACCTCTGCAAAGGGAGAGAGAAGGTGTTAGGTCGTTTTTCCATGGGTTGTGAATCCTGGTGGGCAGGCAGGGTGGAAGTTTGGTTTTGAGGGGATCCATTGGAGACTGAATCAGGAGAGAGGAAACCCAGAATTGTTTGGATGTGGAGGGTATGGGAAGGCTTGCACCTTAGACTCAAAAGTTTTTGTGTGATTGGCTGTGCTTAGGCAGCTGCACTTAAGACAAGAGAATTCATCCCAGCATTGGGATTCAGATCACGTTGGCTCACAACCCATGGTTTTCACTTTCTCATTTCTGTGGATGTACATAATCTGAGCTCCGATCTTTCCCCCTGTAAATTGGGATAAAAATATCCACCTCACAGGGCTCTTATTAGGAACAAATGAGATGAGTATGTGAAGTATGTGAAGGCCTCATGCCAGGCACATAGCAAGTCCTCATAGATATTACTTTTCCTTCTTGATGTTAGTTTTATAGGATATAAAACTAGCAATATTTCAAACAAGCCAGAGTTGCTGTGGGTACACCTCTCCCACTCTATTTACACCCGACTTCTCTACGCTGTGGGCTTTCACAGGACTCAAAGGCTGATATGCAGTAATTCCGGCTGCGGAGAACCAGTTCTTCTGTTGGTGTTGGTCATTATGTAAATTGCAAGCTTGATGGTTCCTTCCGGTCACAGCAGTGAAGTACCTCACTCTCAAAAGGGCTGTTTTTTTTCTGCAAAGTAATTTCTACCCTATATTCTGATATTAATTAGGCTGTAGGAACTCTGGAACTGATGAAAGTTCTTTGCCTGGTGCCCATATGCTGGCACAGAGGGACAGACAGAAGGTGGCCAAGTCTGAGAACTCTCCAGTCGCATCAAGATGGATGGGGCTTCATTTGGGGCCCTCAATGACGTGACTGTGAAACTGTGTCCATGCTCTCCTAGGGGCAGCTTTCAGAACAGAGATCCCAGCTATTGAAGCTCCAAATTAGGGGTCATGGGTGGTATTAGGCTGAGTCTATACTACCATATGTTTTCTTTCTGAAGTACTCTTTTGTTCTTTAACTGAATTTTCATTCTTTTAGATGGCATTGAATTGTCTAATTCAGCCTCAGGACCCACTTCTGCCATTTGTTCTACCCAGGTTCTAGTTTACATATTGTCACTGCTTCCTGAGCTCGGACAAGTATCTGAGTTTGTGACTCCAGCTTTGCATCACTGGTAAGTCACAGTCTCCCAGCTCTCAGGAGGGGGCAGTTTCTCGGCACTGGGTCACTTCACACTCTTTGGCTGACTAGGTAGGGATGGGGGCTGGTGGCAGACAGTTACAGTTGACCCTTAAACAATGTGAGGGTTAGGGGTATCGAACCCCCACAAGTCAGAAATCCACGTATAACTTTTAACTCTCCCCAAAACTTGACTACTAACAGCCAACTGTTGACTGGAAGCCTTAGCAATAATATGAAAGTCAGTTAACACAAAACTTTGTATGCTCTATGTATTATATAACATATTCTTACAATAAAGTAAGATAGAGAAAAGAAAATGCTATTAAGAAAATCATAAGGAAAATACATTTACAGTATTTATTGGAAAAAAAAATCCACGTATAAGCAGACCTGCACAGCCCAACCATGTCTTGTTCAAGGGTCAGCTGTAGTCTCTCACGAAGGAAAGGGCTGCCTTGGCGTCCACACCTCAGTTTCATACTTGGAGTCTTTCTCCTGCTCACCTATGGGAGCGACCGGTGTCCTGTGCCAAGGTGAACATATTTGTGTGGCATTCACTATAGCTCTGGGCACCCTGTGTTACTAGGTTCACCTTTCATTTCCTATCTATTAGTGCAGTGGTTTATGAGCTTCATTTAAAATCAGATCTCTAAGGGCAGGACCTCCACACTCCTTTTAGCCATGAGCTCCCTGGAGCATCTAATACAGCAGTTGAGACTCTGGTTCTCTCCCTCAACTGTTCATTAGTATCGCCTGAGAGCTTGAGAAACCCTCACTGCCCAGGCTCCACCCCAGAACCATGAAATTAGAATCTCTGGCGGTGGGATCCAGACACTAGTATTTGTTAAAGCTGCTCAAGTGATTCCAGGGTACAGAGAAGCTTGAGAAGCACCGTTCGGGAACCTCATCCTGTCCCTGAGAGAGGTGGCAGTTCCTACCCATGCAAAAAAAAGCTGAAGAAACACACGGCGACTGTTCATGTGGAGAAGGGCTTTGCTAGGAAGAAACAAGGGAGGCAGCATTCTCTGTTGCTTATAAATATAATTTATTACCTGTTTAAAAATTCTTTCTTACATTTTGTACATGTTGGCTGACAGAATAAGTGCAGGCAATTTACAAACCAAGGGGACTGCAAGAAAATGGGGAGAGGCAGCCAGGGAGAGAGCAGAGGCACACCAGAGCTGGCACCCCCTCACCTCTGCCACACAGCGACGTGGCAGGCAGGAGGCCTGGGGAGCACTCCGCCTCCACCAGGGTTTTCTAGAAAAGGAATTGCATAGAAGATACAGCAAGAGGGAACTCCATGACAACAAAAGAAGTGTTCTATGTCTGAAAAGCCAACGCTGTATTGTTGTGTATGAAAAAAAAAAAAGAAAAATGACAAAGCACAAAACCTCCATCTGACATTTCTGCAGTTGAACTGTTCCAAAAGGAACAGCAGGTGGATGACACAGGCTCTTCAACACATACTGCTGGGACTTTTTCTCTGACAAACATTGGTTGTCTTCTTTAGAAAGAGCAAAGAGGAAGGTCACCAACTTGCTACAACGTTAAACGTAGTGAAAACACACAGCACTGTGGCATCCAGCACACACATAGAGAGATGATGTTCCCTGCAAGTGGGCTAAATGTACTCTGGAGAGTGAGGGCTTCACTACCAATAGAAGGTCTAAGAGAGAATAAAGGGAGAATGCAAAATGCAAACTGCATGTTCAACTCGTTTTGATTGCTGTCCTCTTTCTTCAAGGCCTGAAGGAGTATCCATTTGCATTTATAACCCTACATTGGCAGGTGTCATAGAGACTTTAAGAATATAAAAGGGCAAAGGCATTTCCACTAGCTATAGATTTCTTGCTTTTTTATGCCATTCTAAAACAGGTTTGTTTTAAACTGGAGGACATAGCTCAGGCCATGATTCTTGGATGTTGCCTCACTGTCATGCTGAGGTTCAGAGGCCAAGGGTTCATCATCCCTCAGGCTGCCGATCAGCAAAACCTGCTTACGATTCTCGACTCCCGGGTCATTCCCCCGGGTCAGTGCCATCAGGTTCAATAGCAGGTCTGACAGTGCCACCTCCAGTAGACCTTTGGAACTGAAGGATGACGACACATATGATTTAGATATACTAGAAAAGGACCCTGAAGTGTTATGGCCTTGCTGAGGCACAAATCTGAAATGGCACGTGAAGAGGCTGGTATACAGTAGCACATACTTTGGCTGGTGGGCAGCTGATGGTATCTCAAGGCATCTTCCTTTCTAGCTGGTGGGCCACAACACGAGACTTTCTGCAGGGATTCCCAGCTCGGAATTCTGGAAGATCTCTGGACAGATCTCATCAATACATAAGAGTCTAGTGGACAACAGGATGGGAAATAACCTTTTAATGGCTTGACAGTGTGCTAGTTCATTTGTGGAGCTCCTGTCTGTTGTCCTGGTGATGCTTTCCTCAACCAAGCCAAAATAGGTCTGGGGCATACATTACATTTGGTTGAATGAACCCATTAATATCCTACCACAGATCAATACAGAGAGGTGACAGGCCCGCTGGAAAATC